CTTGAAGGAAAACAAAAAAAAGAAGAAGAACAAAAAGAGGAAGAAGAAGAGGTAATGAAAAAACAAAAGAAGAAATGATGCTGATTTTTTCTTCTTGTATCTGAACACAAAGAGGCTTCTCGTTTGAACTTCAGGTGTAAGGGATATCTGTCACTCGTCATCAACGAGTTCCAAGTCGCCACCCTGCACACACTGCAGATGACTCCACCTAATGAAATATTTTTTTCAGGTCGATCAAACTTATACAAGAAATAAGCACGACGTTCGAAAAATGCGGGAATCCTTTCGTTGACAAGAATTAGAGAGGAACAGTTGTAGAAGATAAGGTTTATTAACATAACACATATAAGACTGCTATCAGGGCATTTACCTGATACCAACGTTTACACGGCCCTAACCACGGACAATCATTTGTTTTTGCGTTGTATGCGTTTGCTTGGATAAGCACTCTGAGTCGTTTGCACCAACAGAACGTCGCCGGTTTGGGATGTCTGGCGTAATTGCACGATTTCCATACTTTTGCTATTAGGCACCGGTTACTGCATCCTGGAATGACCGATTTTTTGTGAAAGTAGATTTGCCTCTATCATATTCTTTCATGTTGAATGCTGGCTTCGTGGCCAATGTCTGCTGTGTTTCGGCTCGTACCGGGAAGCCGGATGGCTACAGTAAATGATACATTCAGCCGGTTTGTTCAAAAAGGCCAGTTTTTTTGCCTCATCTGCACATCTACCAAGGTCACCAGTACCAGAAATTGAGTAGAGTAATTCCTTACGCTATCCTGAGATTTAACCCACGTTATGCGTTCAAATTGAACGTTGTTGTACGCGGTTCGCCGTCATTCTTGATCCTTTGTTGGAGCGGTTTCTTCCACATCGCGCAATAACACTGACATGACAGAGGCAAAGCAAAAGTAGACTCTTGGAAGAAGTTACTAATTTCTCAGTCCATATATTTGACAGGTTACCAGAAAGCACTAGAAGCGAGTGAGATTTTCCTGTTTAACTCTGGCCGAATTGTGGGATGACAGAAATGACATAAAAATTGGGCAACTTCCTTCACCGTTTCGTAGATGTGTTCTACTTGTTGATTCATTAAATCGGATGGATTCCTCATAACTTCTTATTTCCGGCCATTAAAGAAGATTAGATGCTTGCTTTCGCACCCGCGGTGCATAGACAAACTATCATGTGACATTTCATTTATATGACACTGTGTTACATGATGATATTTAATCCATAACCGTGACCGGTACCAGACTGATGTACTTAGTCACAGTGATGGATTAAATATCATCATGTGACATTTCATTTATATGACACTGTGTTACATGGTGATATTTAATCCATCACTTTGACTAAGTACGTCAGTCTGGTACCGGTCACGGTTATGGTCATCTTAAAATGAAGTTTGAGTCACAAAGTTAATCGTGTTTGGCCAGGTAGAAAACAGTGATCAGACTCGTTTTACGTGTGTTGGTCAAATTCATCATCAAAGTCAGATATA